TTAATAAACAGAATTAGGAGAAAGATAATAAATACACACACTATGGATACACGCACAGATCACACTTAGGCACTCGCTCGGACCGGTCCACTCTTTCACACGGGTGTGCACCACACTCACCAGTCACCCTGGGACTCCCAAATATGCCCAAAGGGCATGCACATGATTTTTCACCTCCAGAGGGTTTAGTTCTTCCAAGTGAAGAGATCGGAAGTAGGGAAAGGCCAGTGCTGGCCCGGGAGTGGCAATAGAGAGTTCGGGGTTCAGGGGCAGAGGAGGAGCAGAGTAAGTGGGGGCCCCTTCTCCCCCCGGCCTGGCACTCCTGCCTAAGGCTCCTGGTCCGGGTACCCCCGGGGAGCAGGCTGGTAGATGACTCCCTTGACCTGGAAGATGAGCGGCGAGTGGAACGATCCCTCGGGGGGCCAACCAATCTGGAACGTCGGCCATCCTGCAGAGCAAAAGGTCTGCCATTTAGGCTTTTTAACAATCAGAAAAGGATTCTGAGCACGAGAGCAGACCTCTGACCAGTGGGAGAGAGTGAGTGAGAGGAGTGGACGGAGATTGTCCCATGGTTCCAAAGACGGTGTCTTGGTAGAGAAAAAGGACGAGCGTGATCCAACCTACAAAAAAGAATGACGCAAGCGCAAGGCCTTTTGGAGAGGAAAGAAGAATAGAGAAGTAATAGAGCGGCCGATGATTCCTGACACACCAGATGTAGCCTCTCCGAGGCTACCACAAAAGAGGCCTCCAGGCGTCCCTGGCCCTCATCCACCTCCGGGGCGTCCCCCAGGGCTGCGGCCCGCGTCTATTCCCGACACGTCTGTCAGACACAAGGCTCGCACACACAACAGTGTGCTGCACACCACTGTCACTGTGCTTGCACACCACTGTGCTTGTGTCACCGATCGGTAACTACAGTAAAACGGTACCGGAGAAACAAAGAGAGAGAAAGAGGCGCCTTAACTTACCCCGCGGCTCAATCCTGCGTCCCTGGGGCAGGGTCCTCGGTGATCTCGGTGGGACCTCCAAATGTTGGGATCGGGAGTTCCCTGGCCCTGGGAGGCGCGGAGAGACCAGATAGACACAATTCCTGCAGGAGTAAAAACGGGGTTTATTTAGACCAGCATGCTGGGGCTCCGCAGCATACCCCAAAAATGGGCAGTGGCTGAGAGCCCCGAACTTCTTCAAAGGGGATCTTATATAGGCCTTCACTGGCCGTTACAGCAAAGCCCGCGCATTTCATAGCCAATAGATTTGTAACAACATATACTTTCTTAACCAATCCATTTAAAAGTACCTCACTCCTTAGCCTATAGATTCAAAGATCAGCATTTACGTACATCGATTGTCAGCACAAGCAAGGTTATAGCTGGAATCATTAAGCCTTAGGTAATCTCCCTTGACCATCCTCGTTTTGTGTTACCCAAGTCTGCAGGGTGCTTTAGTGAGACAATACATTCCAGGAAAGGGCAATTTCCCCCAACCACCAGCATCCTGAGTTAGCCTTTACCCAAATCTGCAGGGTGCTTTACTGAGACAATACATTTCAGGGACAGTAAATACACCTGAATCTTGTAGAAAGAAGTTATGCCCTGTTCACTTTGCAAGTCCCCTCTCCCCCAGGTGCAAAGCAGCCAAGCAGTTTTACAGAAAGCAATGTTGCAAGTTAGCTAAAGTACACAAAAATTTGATGCCCTAATATGGATTCTTTCAGAATAACCCCTGTGTATCGCTGGGTGTAACCCAAAAAGAAAAACAATAAATAAATAATTGTATCTATTTTAGTGTCTTTGGGTTACCAAAATTGAGTATTAGAGAAATTTAGTTTTGCAGGGTTTTGGAAGCTAAAAGTTCAAGATTAAGTTTTCATCACCTTTGGTTTTTAGAGGCATCGTTCTTTTTTTTTTTTTTTTTTTATTAGTGAAACACCATGAGGTACAGTTGTAGATTTACAAATTTTTGTGCTTGGATTTCAGTCATACCATGATCAAATACCCATCCCTCCACCAGTGCCCATTTTCCACCACCAGGATAATATCCCTCCCCCCCCATCCCCCCATCCCCCCATCCCCCCCTGCCACTGAGGCAGGGCATTCCCTTTTGTTCTCTCTCTCCTTTTGGGTGTTGTGATCAGCAAAAGAGGCATTGAGTGGCAAACATGTTCAGTCCAGTCTACTTTCAACCTGCATCTCCCCTCCTGGGAGGATCCTCCAAACACCCTCCATTTGGTGTTCCCTTCTCCATCTGAACTGTCCTTTCCCCTAGAATACCCGGCTGGAAGAGGCATCGTTCTTTCTGGGTTGCAGATGACTGCCTTCTCACCTGTCTTCCTGTGGTATTTGTATATGGATAAAGATGACGAGCTGGGGCTGGAGCAATAGCACAATGGGTAGGGTGTTTGCCTTGCACGCAGCCAACCCGGGTTCAATTCACAGCATATGGTCCCCCAAGTACCACCAGGAATAATTCATGAGTGAAGAGCCAGAAGTAACCCCTGAGCATCACTGGGTGTGACCCAAAAAGAAAAAAAAAAGACGAAAAGGTTTCCAGTATCTTTTCCTCTTCTTAGATATGACTTCTAGTTACAGAAGTTATTAGATTTTTGGAATTAGGTTAGTTGTTGGATGGAAAAATAAAAATTTTAATAAATTATGAAAAATTTGGTATTACTTAGTAATAGACAAATGGATGAATGAATTAGAATAGAGACCTAAATATAAGCCCGTGCAAACATAGTAAACTGATCTACATAAAGGAGCAAAGGCAAATAGATTAGAGAAAAGATAGTGCTTCTGCTAAAAGAGCTGATTTCTCTTGGAATCCCAATGAATCTTGGGTGATTTGTTCTGTATCAAAAGGCAATTTTATGCAAGTGTGGCAGATGGCAGAGAACATCTATAAAGATGAGGACTCTGGAGGAAGCGTATATCCAGAAGGACAAGGGTCCTAGTATGTCTACACTTTTGATTTTTGACTCCCCTTTTTCCCTCTCAACCCAAGATTAATTTAACACTGGTTTTGAGGCCCCCTCTCCCCCCCAAAAAAAAAAGAAAAGAAAGAAAATGTAGTGCTTTTAGTAAATGGGTTGAAACAATTGACTATCCAGCAAAATATTAATGCATTTATACAGTGACAACAGTTAGCTAAAATTTAATAAAATACCTAAATATAAAACACAGAATGATAAAATAATCCTATGATTCTTTAGGATATTATGTAATAAAGATTGTAATTATGCATACAAGTTACTTTTAGGTTATCATATATATAAAATTTTAAAATTCATACATCAAAGATTATCAGGAAAGAATATTAGATATCATTTGTTACTCTTTTCTTATTTTAGGTCTATTGTGGTCAGAGAATATACTTTGAAATTTCAATTGTTTGAAATTTTTGAGAATTGTCATGAAGTATATGTTCATTTTGGTGAATGGTACACGTTCTATTACTTTAAAGGTCCAGATATTCTACAGTTGTGTGATTTAGTCCTATAAATGTCCACTAGGTTAAAGTGTTTGGTAATCAATTTTTATATCATGCTGATTCATGTACATGTTTATGCAATAGTACATCATTTATTCAGAGAGATCATTCATATCTCCAACTGTAATTGTTTTTTGCCTATTTTCCTTTAATTTTAACAATTTTCACATTTGTTTTTGGAGCACTATTAGTCTATGCAAAGAGTTTTGCAGTGGTATATTAATGAATTAAACTGTTATCAGCATGAAATAGCCTATGATATTTGGTAATATTCCTTGACTAAAGATATCCTTTTGTGTTAACATACCAGCTTTCTTAGGATAATTGTATGTAAGGTTTTAGAATTCCATTTGTTTCTTTTTACAGAGTTGGGGGTGAGGGCTCACCTTATGGTGTTCAGGGCTTAATTACTCTCATTGCACAGGGGTCATTCCTGATAGTACTAAAGGAATAGTATGTGGTGTCGGAGATTCAAACCCAGGTAACCCTAAGCAAGGCAACCTCATCACTTTCTCTTTATCTCCTATCCATCTATTTGTTTCTCTTTTTAGAATTTCAATTTATCTTGAAATATCCACTTTTATGTACTACAGTCCAATCTACTATAAAATCTTTGACAAATTTATCATTTTTTTTAAAGTTCTTAAGAAAAGAAAAGTGCCTGCCGCAGAGGCAGACTGGGGTTGCTGGGTGGGGGTCGCAGAAGGGAAACTGGGGACACTAGTGGTGGGAAATGTATACTTGTGAAGGGAAGAGTACTGGAACATTGTATAACTAACCCAATCATGATCAACTTTGTAACTGTTACTCATGGTGATTCAATTAAAAAAAATTCATAAAGAAATTAAGTCCTTACCTGCGAATTACAATAACCAGTTTCTCGGTGAATTGGTTTATATTAAATTTTTTTGATTGGGAGTCCTATTTTCCCTATATATCTTGTAATTTATATTATTATAAGTTGGGCATTATATGGGAGAAATTGTGGAAGTTGAAGTCCAAGCTAGTTTCATTTTCAGAGAGTGCATGCCTTTTCTTTCTTTGGCTTTTAGGATGAAAAGCTGATCATTATTAATTCTATGCAACTTGAGTTGATCTTTAGGGTGACTGCAACTGCCTGTGTCTAAATTACCTGTATCTAATGCAACTTCCCACCTCACACTCCACCTCCACCCCATATCTTCCTCATATTTTGTTAATATTGAGCTGGGAAAAGTTTTGACTAAAATTTGAGATATTTTTGGATCACCTTCAGAGTTAACTCTTTCAAGCCCTGAGAATTGAAATACTAAAAATAATGTTTTAGCCTATTTGAGCTCCCTTACCTTTCCATCCCTTCCAGTATTGTTACATTTTTTGTACAAAAATAAGAAGCAAGGTATGCTGCTGGGGGAGGGGATTGTGACTGAATCATTTTTCTTTTTATTTTGGGTGTCTTTCAGAGTCCAGTTAATTCCCCTGGTTTATGCTGATATCTAGCTGGTTTCTTCTGATCTAAGAAAAGTTCTTGCACCATGTTAAACCAAAATTCCCTTCTAAATCTGTACAAACTTTATTTCAGACAGGTAAGGAAAATGGCACTATTTAACGCTCTCAAGGATGAAGGGTAGGTATTTGGACTTTCAACTAATACAATTGGAAAGGGCCTCATGATTTGAAGGACCTTACACTGGGTCTAACAGTTTACTGTTACCTTCTGAAAATTTGTGATTTTGAACAAATTATGTATACAGTCCTGCTTATTGGCATCCACTGCTCTTCACTAATGCCAAATAAAAATAGTTTAATTTTCTCCAGTTTTTTTCTTGTAACCAAGGAAACATAGGTATGTTGCATCCTACCAGAAATGGAAATGTTATCTTACATCATTTTACATGGAATTACTTTATGTCTTTTTTCCTTTTAATTTTACCCTTAGAGAAGTTAAAAATTTTTATATTGAAATAAACTAAAACTTTCAAAAAACTTTCATTTCCTGAACTTATTGTTCAAATTGTCTTTAGTTGATGTATGGATATTATTTTGATGTTTCAAATTACTAAAAGTAATTTGACAGCCATTAAAAAAAGGAGTCAAAATTTAAGTAGTTTTAATTTGCCCCCTTTTTATTCAGTGCATTTCAAAATGTGAAGATTCCTTCTAGCCAAATTAGTCTACTCACTGTCTTTGAAGTCATTATATCATGAACATTTTTCTGATAATTAAACACCATCTCCCTTATTTTTTACCCTTCTCAATTGGTTAAGTCCATCTCATGTTTTCCATAATTCTTTTTTTATTTAATTTTATTTTTTTGATTGAATTACTGTGCGACACACCCTTACAAAGCTGTTTATGATTAGGTTTCAGGTGTATAGTATTTCAACACCCATCTCTCCACCAATGTACATTTCCCAGCATCAGTGTCCCCAGTTTCTCTCCCATCACTCCCCCACCATCACCCCACAGCCTGCCTCTGTGGCAGGTGTTTTATTTCCCTCTTTCTCTGTCTACAACTCTATCCGTTTTTGTATCTGAACACCTATCTTTTGAAATTTTTTAATTTTTTGCTTTTTGGGTCACACCCGGCAATGCTCTGGAGTTACTCCTGGCTCTGTACTCAGGAATTACTCCTGGCAGTGCTCAGGGGATCATGTGGGATGTTGGGATTCGAACCTGGGTCGGCCACATGCAAGGCAAACACCCTACCCACTGTGCTATCTCTCCAGCCCCTGAACACTTATCTTTAAAGCACTATTAATATATATTCTTTATTATATTATCATCTATGTATTATAGCCTTAGAACTTAAATAATATTAAAAGAATAAAATATTCTCTTCCACTTCAAATGTGTAATTATTTTTTAAAAACATGACCTATTATTTTGTTTTCTTAGTTATCTTTTGTTGTGAAAAATGTGTTTCAGTACATTAAAATGTGATCTTTCCAGCCATGTCCTCATCAAACCACTAAAGTATTACATTAAGTTATTCTGAATTGCTCTTATGTTTTCTTATCTCTCACGGGTTTTCCATCTTCTAAAAGTGTTTTGATTTTTTTTAATAGCTTACATTTTTGACATTTCCCTATACATTTACTCCATTATTTTATTCACACTACAAGTACTTATACATTAACCCAGGGCCAACTGATTTATGAAATTCTGACAGTTTAGCAGTGGTTATATTATAGATGCTCACTGCTTGGAGATACAAATTTTCTGTGTGTTATCATACAGAATGAAAGAAAAAGGAAAATTTTCTAGAAAAAGTGACTTTCAATTTGATATTGGACACAAACATTAAATATTACAAGAGGAGATTGAAGGGAAAGAACAAAGAACTTGGGATTTCATCCTTCAAAGCAGAAGGGAGAATAGAATGTCTCTGTCAGTCTTTACCACAAGGAAAAGAAATAACAGCTTTTGATTTAAATTAGTTTAATGAAAAAAAACTTTTGACTTGCAAAGATACTACTAGTAAAAACGTGCTTTTCACTTATTATACTGAAAATCTCAATTACTTCAGTTATCTTTATCACATCCACAAGAGAATCATGTGATTATGTTGCTGGTACTGTATTGAATGTTCACAACTTCCAACATAGCTCAAATGTCTAGAATCTCTGGTAGGAATTTGAAATGAAGACATTCAGTAAGGATTCTTGTGGCGTTTAGCTCTAGGAGCTGTGTATAAAAGAGAAGCCCTTTAAGAGAATTTGCTTTGGTGGCTCAAAATTTAAATGCTGATTTCTGTTCCTTTTCAAAGTCCAGAGTGAATATTTATTTTGCAATATTGTATAGCTCTGAAAATTATAAACTAAGACAAGGGTTATTTTTATTTTGTAATTGTGTATAGGCAATTATGTATAAATAATTTGAATTTTTGTTAATGAGAAATATTGAATTTTTTTATTAGCGACCTCCAAAAACTGTTGAAGAATTTCTTAAAAATCAAAATTGGGTAAGTAAAGCATTTTACTTTATGTGCCCATGACTCTTTTTTTTTAAGTTATGTGGATATGTAAAGCTCAGGAAAATACTTAAATATAAATTCAAAAAATATGTTTTAGTGGAGAAAAATATCTAAATATGTATGTCCTTTGGTAGATGTTATAGCTATCCCCTCTTGTCAGTATTCTGTTCTACTTTTCACTCTTAAAAAAGCCAAACTCTGGATTTTATTCAAAAAAGTATATTTTTCATACAATTTTGCTGTTATTCCAACTGGTATATTTACATCTTAAAGAATATATGACAATATTGTTTACTTTCTAACTGTATTTATTTATGTCCTACAGTTTAGACTTATGCTTCCCAGATGTCTGTATGTCTTTTTAATTGATATCTCAATAGTGTATGAGAGAGGTCACTTACAAAATCTAAATGGCAGGAGGACCAAGATCACTCTGGGAAAGTTTTCCAACACTGAAAACTGGTCTAAAGACTCAGAGAATGAGGATGTATGACTGGGGTGTTAGGAATAGGAATGTTCTAGGAATTCAGAGTGTAGGCTATGAGGTGGTGTGAAAAATCAGCCCAAGTGGAGTGAGGAGAATGTTCATGTAGAATGTGCAGCCTGGAGTGGGTGGGGGTAGGAGGGGGGTCAGAGCCGAAGCAGGTAGATCATCCATACAGAAGAGGCTGATTGTAGATAGGATAGATATAAAGAGTACAACAGAGAATTCATATCGACGGGGAATTCAATTTTCACTTAAAAGCCCCAGTAAAATTTCATGACATACAGGTTATCTGCTAATCACAAACATCTACCTGCTGGAAACCTGTATTATACAGTAGGTTATGAGAACTGACCAAAATAATAAGTTATCTGCTGCCTGTACCTATTTTTGCTAATTTATTCTGCGATTTGCTTAGCTAGTACAAAATTTATATTAACCTGCTGCTTTCACTCAAATAAGAAACTTCCTCCCTTGAAGAGATTCTGCTAACACTCTGTTCTTTGTATCTGCCAGAATAAAACTTGCTTGCCTTATTCTCTTGAGTACTGAATAATTCTTTATTTTTTATTCAAGCCTTCAGACCTCAACAAGACTAACTACTCAGGAGAACTGACTAATAAAAGTACATATATAATGATAATATCATCTATGTTATTTGCTGTTGGAGATTGGAATTGCAATATGGGGGGAAAGAAAAACAGAATATTTGGGACTGGAATATTCATAAATGTAGAGGTCAAAAGAATACTGAAAAGCCATTACAAACTCGCAAAGGACTAAAGACATAAGACTTCTATATGTAAGATGCAATAATAAAGTAAATTCTTTAGATTCAGGTGATGAAACTCTAATAGATTATGTAGTAAGAATGCATTAATGGCAATCTCCTGGTATTTGATGCTTGTATTTCGATTATGTAGGTGAAAATGTTTATTTTTTAGAAATGTTATGGTAAAACCAGCAGATATTTTTATTTTCTTTATTTGGGATGTGGTGTGGGCCTCGCCCAGCTGTTGTTTAGAGTTTATTTCTGGCTCTGTACTCAAGGATCACTCCTAGAAGTCCTCAGTGGTCCATATGTGGTGCTGGAGATTGAACCCAAGTTGGTCATATGCAAGGCAAGCATGGTACCCCTGGTAATAGATAACCCACAATTTATTTTCTGAATAATTCAGAAGTGTTCTATAAAACATTTAAAACCTTTATATCTTAGTATTGTTTCATGATTTTGAAATACATTTGATTAAAATAATACTATGAAGTAAAATCCCAATTCATTTCATTGATTTTTAAACTCATTTAAATTAATTTTAAATAATTTTATTTGTATTCTCTCATGTTTAATACAGGATTATTGGCCAAGGGATTTTATTTTTCCTAATAAGGATCAATGGCTAAATGATCTACAACAACTAAAACATGACTGTACTGTTGCTGAAATTTATTCACATTTGTGGAGTACTGTTCCTCGAGTATACGATGCATCCATGAATATGGAGACAAGATTAGCGGAATGTTTGGCTTTTATGAAAAAACACGCATCTAAACTATTTGAGGAGGAAAACCTAGTAACTAGGACATGTAAATATTGTTTCATATGAGTATAGTATAATGCCCATATGTGTGTTTCTGTGTGTGTCTGTGTGGTTTTGTAAATAATGAATTCCTCAGATACAAAGTATCTGAAATCATAAAAATAAACTTACTTCATTTTAAAAATCTTTTCATTTGGAAAATGGCCCAATATAGTTTTTCAGTTCCCCTGAAACACATGAATTCAAAGAAAGTATTGCTAGGACAAGCCAAAAATTATCTGTCAGTTTCATTAAACTGGAGTTAAGGTAGCCTATTTTGAGGAAAATAGGAGTGCATCAGCTGACATTGGTACCATAGATAAGTAAGTCAGGAAGTCAACAAGAGTCAGACTACAAGAACAGAAATATCTAGGACAGAGAGACCAGTTGTATGCCTGGTACCACATGATTTTTCTGTGCACCTCCAGATGTGTCCAGGGCCCTCCAACCCCAGCACTACTGGAGTGACCCAGGTAATCCTTGGTATTGAAGGGCCCAAGCATTACTGCATTTTCATATCTTAGTATTGAGCCACTGAATCAGCAACTGAGTATTGCCAGAACCCCACCCACTCCATAAAGCAAATACAAACAGAAATACCTAAAACCCAAAGTTAAAGTGATGAGAATTGACCTACATGATCAGGAAGGGATAGTTTATAAGAAATGCTTAGCAATAGCATCCAATAACTACAAAATTGATTGAAAAGCATACATTTAAGTAATGACAATGTTTAATGATGATGTTTAATGTCTCATCTATCTGAATTGATCAATGAATGTAGAATACATTTTCTACTAATAGTCATTCATGTCTTATAGATTTAATGAACAACATTGCCATATATTTCATATGTGCAAGTGTGGATATAGAGGGAGAATGCATACATGTACACTTTGTGTATATACATACATATACAATATACTATAGCTTGTAAATTTTAATGGGTTTTAATATAAAATAAACATGGACTTTTAAAAAAGTTTAAAGATGTTTTAAAATAAATTTAAAGTTGGGGCTGGAGTGATAGTTCAGTGGGTAGGGCATTTGCCTTGCACGCAGCAGACCCGGCTTCGAATCCCAGCATCAGATATGGTCCCCTGAGCACCTCCAGGAGTAATTCCTGAGTACAGAGCTAGGAACGGCCCCTGTGCATCACCGGGTGTGACCCAAAAAGCAAAATAAATAAATACATTTAAAATTACTTGAATTTAAGGTGACTATAAAACAATCAAATATAAATCAAGCTCTCACTATTTGCAGATGATATGATATTAAGAGAACCCAAAAACCTCAACCAAGAAACTCCTAGAAACAATAGACTTGTATAGTAATGTTGCAGGCTATGAAATCAGTACCCAAAAGTCCATGGCTTTCTTATATGCCAATAGTGAGAGACAAAAAAAGTGACATGAAAAAAAAATCCCATTCACAATTGTGCCCCAGAAAATCAAGTACCTAGGAATCAGCTTAACTAAGGAAGTAAAGGGCCTGTAAAAAGAAAACTACAAAACGCAACTTCCGGAAATAAAAGAGGACACGAGAAAATGGAAAGATATCCCTTGCTCACAGATCGGGAGAATTAACATTGTCAAAATGGCAATACTTCCCAAAGCATTGTACAAATTCAATGCGATCCCTATAATGATACCCATGACATTCTTCAAAGAAATGGAGCAAACACTCCTGAAATTCATATGGGACAATAAGCCCCCACAAATAGCTAAAGCAATTCTTGGGAAAAAGAAAATGGGAGGAATCAACCTCCCTAACTTCAAACTCTACTACAAAGCAGGAATAATTAAAACAGCATGGTACTGGAACAAAGGCAGAGCTAGACCAATGGAACAGGGTTGAATATACTGACATCTCCCCCCAAACATATGATCATCTAATCTTTGACAAGGGAGTAAGAAATGTGAAGTGAAGCAAAGAAAGCCTCTTTAACAAATTGTGCTGGCAATACTGGACAGCTACATACTGAAAAAATGGGCTCAGATCTCTGCATAAAACCATGTACAAAAGTAAGATCAAAGTGGATTAAAGACCTCAACATCAGACCGGAATCCATAAGGTACACTGAAGAAAAAGTTGTCAAAACCCTCCATGATATTGAAGCTAATGGTATCTTCAAAGATGTCACGCCACTGGCGAAGCAAGTGAAAACAGAGATAAATAATTGGGACTATCTTTTTTTTAGATTATTAACAGTGATTGTTTTTAATAACAAATGTCTATCACTTGATCACTTGACTTCCCGTTAATTGTCGATTTGCTCAAGTGGGCGCCAGTAACGTCTCCATTTGTCCCTGTCGCGTGCTAGTGTAGCCCAATGGCGTCTGTTCGTTCTAGGAACACGAAGAGCCTCAAATCGATCATTCATGGTTTTGATGAAGAAGTCTGACCATCTGTTAGGTGGGCGGTCATGCGGTCTTTTGACATCCCATAGAATCCAGTTGGTAATGGCTCTAGTCCAGCGGTCATCTCTAAATCTCATTACATGACCAGCCCATCTGATTTTGATGCCTTGGCAAACAAGACAGCGTCCCTGATTCTTGATCGTCCATGGAGGTCGGAACTCCGGATTCTTTCATTTGAGTGAAACGTGATATTCCAAGCATAGCTCTTTTAATTCCTCTTTGGGAGACCGGAGTAGCGTTCTCATCCTGTTTGCGTAGGGCCCAGGTCTCTGAGACGTATGTTAATGCAGGAAGAACAGTGGAATCAAAGAGATGTGCCCGGAGCCGGAGGTTCTTCGTCCTCTTTGCTATTTCTTCAACGTTCTTGAAGGCGTTCCAAGCCGCTCTCTTCCTCCTGCGCAACTCAGGTGCCAGGTCATTTGTCATGTTGACTTCTCGACCTAGGTACACATAACTGTTGCATTCGGAGATGGTTGTTCCGTTTAAAGCGAATGGAGCGTCAGGAACGAGGCTGTTTCTCATAAACATTGTCTTCGTAAGATTCAGCTGTAGTCGGCCTTTCCACACTCACGGTCGAAGTCGGCCAGCATTTGTGCCGCTTGGCTAATGTTTGATGTTATTAAAACAATGTCATCAGCAAAGTGGAGGTGGTGTAGTTGCCAACCATCTATCTTCACTCCCATTCCTTCACATTCCAGCCGTCACATGATGTTCTTGAGGGTGGCACTGAGGAGTTTTGGTGAAATGTATCACCCCGCCGAACCCCTCTCTTGACATCAATGATCACTTCTTTGTAGAATGGGGAGATCCTGGTAGTGAATCCGTAATACAGCTCACGGAGGATCCTGATGTATTGAGTTTGAATGCCCTGATTGGCTAAGGCTTCAATGACCACTTCCATCTCAACAGAATCAAAGGCCTTCTTTAAATCAATGAACGTTAGACAGAGCGGCATCTTGAACTCCCGAGAAACCTCAATGAGCTTGGTTATTGTGTGTATATGGTCGATGATGCTGAATCCTTTGCGGAACTCGGCTTGCTCACATGGTTGTCCTTCATCTAGTGTTCTGCCAATCCTATTCTGGATGACTCGAGTGAACAGTTTGTAGATGACAGACACTAGGCAGATTGGGCGATAGTTGCCAATGTCATGGATATCTCCCTTCTTGTACAGTAGTACAGTCCTGCTGGTTTTACAAGAAGCTTATAGTTTACTTATGACAGTTGGCCAAGTTTGCAGTTTCCTTGTGATACCCTTGGATAATACTCCTGATGACTATTCACTTTATTTTCGGACCAATGAAAATTTTCACTGATTTAAAATATGCCTGACACCAAACAAATGTCTATGAAATATTTAATATACAATTTAAAAGGACTTTATGAAATTGATATTTCTATAAGCCCCTCAAATTTTATCTAAGTGGATAAGATTTTCAGAGATTGCATCTATAAAAATGGAATATAAAAAAATTGCTGAATTCTGTCATTCTAGCAGAAATATACACAGATATATGATCTAATTTCCCCCAAATAAAATATTTCAATTCATTTTATTGGTATATACATATATGTGTCTATATGTATGTCTATGTATATATACATCTATATATAGATATATATTTATACATCTACATATATATCTCTCCAATAAAAATTCTCTGATTCCTAAAATACTAAAATACTTAAAAATTAAATGTGTTCATTCACCTTGCCTCTGTGGCAGGGCACTCCCTTTTGTTCTATCTCTTCTTTTGGGTGCTGTGGTCTGCAGAAGAGACATTGGGTGACAATCATGTTCGATCTATAGACTACTTTGAGCATGCATCTCCCATCCTGGGCAGATCTTCCCAGCACCCTTTATTTGGTGCTCCCTTCTCTATCTAGTAAAGTAAAGTAAAGGCCCTCCCGTTGATCATTGATTTGCTCGAGCGGGCCCAGTAACGTCTCCATTGGAGACTTTGTTGTTACTGTGTCTGGCATATCAAATACGTCACGGGCAGCCATGCAGCCAACATGGCCGACCCGAGTTCAATTCCTCCGCCCCTCTCGGAGAGCCCGGCAAGCTACCGAGAGTATTCGACATGCCAGACACAGTAACAACAGTCTCCAATGGAGACGTTACTGGGCCCACTCGAGCAAATCGATGAACAACGGGAGGGCCTTTACCTTTACCTTCTCTATCTGAACTGCCTTTATCCCTAGAGTGTGCAACTGGCCTCTAAGCCATGGAGTGAACAACCTGGTATTTATCACAGCTGTTCTTGGGTGTTAGTCTCTTTATTTTGTTACTCTATATTACCCAGGTGAATGCAATCTTTCTATGTCCCTCTCTTTCTGACTCATTTCGCTTAGCATGATATTTTCAGATGGGACTATCTTAAACTAAGAAGCTTCTGCACCTCAAAAGAAAGAGTGACCAAAATGCAAAGACAGTCTATTGAATGGGAAAGGATATTCACCCAATACACATCCGACAAGGGGTTGATATCAAGGATATACAAAGCACTGGTTGAACTCCACAAGAAGAAAACATCCAACCCCATCAAAAAATGTGGCAACGAAATGGACAGAAACTTTCTCAAAGAAGAAATCCAAATGGCAAAAGGGCACATGAGAAAATGCTCTACATCATTAATCATCAGAGATGCAGATCAAAACAACAATGAGATATCATCTCACACCGCAGAGACTGGCCCACATCCAAAAGAACAAAAGCAACCTGTGTTGGTGCGAATGTGGCAAGAAAGGGACCCTCCTCAACTGCTGGTGGAAATGCCGACTGGTACAGCCCTTTTGGAAAACAGTATGACCAATTCTCAAAAAATTAGAAATTGAGCTCCCACTTGACCCAGCAATACCACTTCTGGGAATATATCCCAGAGAGGCAAAAAAGTGTATTTGAAGTGACATCTGCACTTGTTTGTTCATTGCAGCACTCTTTACAATAGCCAGAATCTGGAAAAAAACCTGAGTGCCCGAAAAAAGATGACTGGTTAAAGAAACTTTGGTACATCTACACAATGGAGTATTATGGAGCTGTTAGAAAAGATGAAGTCATGAAATTTATATACAAGTGGTACTACATGGAAAGTATCATGCTAAGAGAAATGAGTCAGAAAGAGAGGGACAGACATAGAAAGATTGCATTCATCTGGGGAACATAAAGTAACAAAATAGGAGACTAACACCGAAGAATAGCCGAGATGAGTACTAGGAGGTTCACTCCATGGCTTGGAGGCCAGCCGCACATGCTAGGGAAAAAGGCAGCTCAGATAGAGAAGGGAGCACCAAATAAAGGGTGTTGGGAGGATCCTCCCAGGATGGGAGATGCATGCTGAAAGTAGACTATAGACCGAACATGATTGCCACTCAATGTTTCTTTTGCAAACCACAGCACCCAAAAGGAGAGAGAGAACAAAAGGGAATGCCCTGACACAGAGGCAAGGTGGGATGGGGGGGAAGGAGGGTGGGAGGTATACTGGCATAAGTGGTGGTGGAAAATGGGCACTGGTGGTTGGATGGGTTGTTGAATATTGTATAATTGAAATCCAAGCACAAAAATTTGTAAGTCTACAACTGTACCTCATGGTGTTTCACTAATAAAATTTTTTAAAAAAAATAATAAAACAATCAAATATAAGTGGCTGTGCTATTTGAAAATCATGGGCTTCATAAGTAGAGGGAGAGAGTAAGAAGGAAATTGTCTCCCCTAGAGGCAGGGGAAGAGTGAGACAGGGTAGGTGGGAGGGATACTGGGGACATTGGTGGTGGAAAATGTGCACTGGTGTTGGGATGGGTGTTTGGTCATTGTATGACTGAAACTCAAACATAAGAGCTTCGTAAGTGTAGCTCATAGTGATTCAATAAAAAAAAAGTGAAAAAAAAACCACATGGGCTTACTCAGTTGAGAGGGATTGAGGAAGAACTTCAGTTAAAGAAGTCACTGTCACTGTCACTGTCCTTCCATTGTTCACCGATTTGCTTGAGCGGACCCAGTAACGTCTCCATTACGACAATTGTTACTGTGTTTAGCATATCGGATATGATACAGGTAGCTTGCCAGGCTTTCCCGTGTGGGCAAGATACTCTCAGTAGATTGCTGGGCTCTCCAAGAGGGGCGGAGCAATGGAACTCGGGTTGGCCATGTTGGCTGTGTGCAAGGCAAATGCCCTACCCACTGTGCTATCACTCCAGGCCAGTTAAAGTAGTAAAGGCAAACTAGTTGGACTATGACTTTTCTTAAGAACAAGGAAACAGCAGATAATATTTCATTCAACTTAGAGTTTGTATATCTAATACTATGCTTATCAAAATTACTAACTTGTTGAACAGCTCATATATAATTTCTTTGAAATATTTTATATTTTAACTGTTAAAAGATAGACATATTTGTATCTCATAAATTCTCATTTTAAAATTTTCTTTTGAAAAAGTTCTAGGATGCAAGTCACCTATAAAGAAGCACAAGAAGAAAGAGAAGATAATGGTATAGTAACTGTTTTAATCTTCCTGAAAAATTTGTACTTTCACAAAAATATAATTATAAATTCACAGATCAATACTACTATTTTAAAATATTTTATTCTATATCTTTCTATTCCCTTAAAATAACTAGATTCATTGAACTTGACTCAATAGTCTAAGGTCGGCATTTTCACATTATTGGTAGTTATTTATTTAAATGTACATGTAGTTCATTTTCTTGTTATGCAATATTTAGAATAGATTATACTTGGTAGTGCAGGCCCCATATCAGTTCTTTTTCTTTGGAAAAAATTATTTTGAAAAAATTTTAGAGAAAAATGCATTCTTCTCTATTATTATCCTTAGAATTTCTCTAACTTTTTTTCTAAGAATTTTTATTAGAATTATAGTTTTTGAATTACTTTTAGAAACTTGGCCCTGTTCGAAAATACATTTTAAGGTTGTATGATGCTGAATTTCAGTGCCACCACTAATCCATTCACTTCAATTAATGTTATTTTTTAAAATTTCAACATGACTTTAATTTGGGGCCCACACATTGCTTATTAGTAAATCACCTACTTTACCAGATATGAAGCTACCAGTTTTATCATAAGCATTGCCTCACTTTTCCCAGTCTCTGGCATCATATGAAAATTTATACCGCTTTCTACTACATGGAAAGTATCATGCTAAGCAAAATGAGTCAGAAAGAGAGGGACAGACATAGAAAGATTGCATTCATTTGGGGAACATAAAGTAACAAAATAGGAAACAAACACCCAAGAATAGCCAAGATAAGTACCAGAAGGTTTACTCCATGGCTTGGAAGCCAGCTGCACACTCTAGGGGTAAAGGCATCTCAGATAAAGAAGGGAGCACCAAATAAAGGGTGTTGGGAAGATCCGCCCAGGGTGGGAGATGCATGCTGAAAGTAGACTATAGACTGAACATGATTGCCAGTCATTTTCACTTTTGCAAACCACAGCACCCCAAAGGAGAGAGAGAACAAAAGGAAGTACCCTACCACAAAGGTGGGGTGGGATGGGGGGATGGGGGGTGGGAGGAATACTGGGATTAGTTGTGGTGGAGAATGGGCACTGGTGGAGGGATAGGTACACTATCATTGTATAACTGAAACCCAAACAGAAAAATTTGTAAGTCTACAACTGTACCTCATGGTGTTTCACTAATAAAATTTTTTTAAAAATTTATACCACTTTCCCTAAAGCACAGCGGGTAGGGCGTTCGCCTTACAAGCGGCCAACATGGCCGACCCGAGTTCGATTCCTCCGCCCCTCTCGGAGAGCCCGGCAAGCTACCGAGAGTATTCGATATGCCAGACACAGTAACAACAAAGTCTCCAATGGAGACGTTACTGGGCCCGCTCGAGGAAATCGACGATCAACGGGAGGGCATTTCGAGGAAATCCCTAAAAACTATTTTTTATTCTATTACATACTTTTTGGCTGGAGCGATAGCACAGCAGGTAGGGCGTCTGCCTTGCATGCAGCCAACATGGCCGACCCGAGTTCGATTCCTCTGCCCCTCTCGGAGAGCCCGGCAAGCTACCGAGAGTATTCGATATGCCAGACACAGTAACAACAAAGTCTCCAATGGAGACGTTACTGGGCCCGCTCGAGCAAATCGACGATCAACGGGAGGGCCTTTACTTTTACTTTACTTATTACGTACTTTTTAAAATACCAGTAGTATGATTCTCATTGTATTACTAGCATGTTGTAATCCTTTCAATTTTGTTTTTTGATTACCCTCCTCTGAAATAGACATGTGTGTAAGCTTCATTATTTCTGGAGAAATTGGAATATCAAAATAAGAACAATAGACCAACATGGCTAGATTGAAAGCTATAGCATACTATTGAAGGCAGTCTGTTTCTGTGTATAGAGACTGTGGAGTTGAGGTGGAAATGTACCACCCTTCACGGAATGGCCTATTGCCTCAGGTGCTAGTTAGTGCTGTTTGAGAGCACCCATCTGCTTTCAGAATATTAAATGTTGCAGCACCACCAGAAAAATCCTTTTTCCTGAGGCTGTACCTTTCTGGAACTACCCATATCCAGTGACAGGAGGTAAAAACATCTGACTAGTTAGTCCTAATGCAGAACTGTAATGAGTCTTGAGCTCTTAAGGTCAATTGAGTATACGAGACTTGCTGTCTTCTCCATGTTCCCACTCCCACTTTTTCCTTGGTCTTTCATAAATATTGATCCCAAAACATATCCAATAAATACTCTGGACACCAAACATATCCAATAAATACTCTGGACACCAAACTCAGCGTCCATTTCTTTCTTTTTTTGTTTTAATTAATTAATTTTTTCATAATTTTATTTATTTATTTATTTTACTTCTTATATTTATTTATTTATTTATTGAATCACTGCGGAAAAAGTTACCAAGTTTCAGGTTTAAGTCTCGGTCATACAATGATCAAACAACTTTCCCTTTACCAGTACTCATTTTTCACTGCCAAGAACGCCAATATACCCCCCTCCCACCCCTCCCAATGCCTGTGAGGCAGATGATTTCCACTAAACTTTTCTCTACATTGATTAGATTCATTATTTTGACAAAAGATGCACCATTATTGCTTAGAATCCCCCCCCCCCCAACAATCAGAATTGCTGAAAAGACATTGTGAAATACTTTGTGTTCTATAGCTGGTTTTGAGAATCATATAATGATTTTGGATTTCTGCAAAGAGCCAGATCATTACGAGATTGGTTTCTGCGTGTCTGGTGTTATGACTGTGCCGTAGAGCCACTCATGGGGGCAACTCGTGACCTCGGTAGGGTGTGAAGGATGAACTGGTACTGCTCCCCCCCTCCCATGAGACTGCAGTTGCCCGTCACCGCTGGCTCATACCTGGCTTTCCTATAAGCTCTGAGGCGGTGGCCACCTGCTGTCAGGGGGGAAAAGGCAGAAGGGAGCAACACCCTTTCCCTCCCAGGGAGGCATGGCGCCATAGTTTTAACACATGGTCCATTCACTTTTTTGCCACAAGCTGCCGGGCTCTGGATTAAGTCCTTTTGCCTCTGGATCCATGCCCGTACCGGAGAGCTGCTCGTGGGGGGCAACTCATGACCTCAGTAGGGCGTGACGGACAAGCTGGTACCTCCCCCCTTCTCATGAGACTGCAGTTGCCCCATCACCATAGGCTCATACCTGGCTTTCCTATAAGCTCTGAGGCGGTGGCCACCTTGTATGCGGTCCAGATGCATTTCTGCCAAAAACCACTGGGTTTCAAGATTTGTTTCTGAGTCTCTGGGATCATGGCCGTTAATCAGCTTGATCAGGAGCCAGAGAGGCCGTTTGTAGGCGGCGACTCGGGGTCTCATTTGGATGGGGAGGAAGGGCCGGTTCCACCATCTGGTGAGGCCTCACCTGTCTCGTCACTGCACCCAAACCTGACTGTCCAGTGGCCTCTGGAGGATGGTGGTCACTGGGCCACCGGGGGAATAGGCCAAGGCACGAAACCTATTCCCACCTGGAGTGGCCCAGCACCAGTAACCTACTGCAGGAACAGGACAAATTTCTGCCTTTGGGTTCCGAGATTCGTTTCTGAGTCTCTGGGATAATGGCCGTTAACCAGTTCAATCAGGAACCAGAGAGGCCATGCTTCCAATTATATAGCTGAGCCAGAGGTGGTTTGTGGGTGTGTCTCCTACATACCTAACTTTTGGCCATTTACTTTCTTGGGAAACTTTGCCCCAAGTTTTTGGGCTCTGGCCAAAGGCACCGTAGCAATTTTGGGGTATCTGAAAGTCTGATGGTACCATCAGGCTGCTGATCCTTTCACCTCACAGGTATAGATTAACCTGCTGGCGGCACCATACCCCCATTAATTTATTTTTTAATGAATCACCAATGAGATACAATTACAGATTTACATACTTTGGTGATTACATTTCAGTCATACAATGATCGAGTACCCATCCCTCCACCAATGCCCACGCTCCACTACCAATGTTCCCAGTATCCCTCCCGCTATCCACCTCCCACCCCACACACACCCTATTGCTTCTGTGGCAGGCACTTTACTGTTTTAGCTTTTACTTTCTCTCCTTTTGGGTGTTATGGTTTGCAATACAGGTACTAAGTGGCCATCATGTTTGATCTATAGTCTACATTCAGCATGCATCTCCCATCCCAAGCGAGCCTTCCAAGCATCATTTACTTAGTGGTACCTTCTCTATCCCAGCTGCCTTTTCCCCCAGCATGTGAGGCCAGATTTTAAGCTGTGGAGTGATCCTCCTGGCCCTTATTTCTACTATCTTTGGTGTTAATCTCCCATTGTGTTACTTTATATTCCACAAATGAGTGCAGTCATTCTATGTCCATTTCTCAGTGAAATCAAACTGCAATACGTAGTTTACTTATAAATCTAGATTCACCCCAATCTTTATATTTTGTTTGTAATGTATTTTGATTTCCATCTTGTGCTATGACTATCCTGAAATTAAGGACCATCTTTATATTTCTGACATTTAATAGAAACAATACTTTGTGCTTCACTATGGGACACACACACACACACACACACACACACATACACACATGCTAAAAAATATGTAGAATTTTAAAAAAGCATTTAGACTGTTAAAGAGTTTAAATGTTTTTCAGCTTTCACCTGAAATGAAGACGGAGAAAAATATAGAGGTATTTAACTTTCTTGTTATATAAGATTATGTGGAGATAAGATTGTTTACAACAATGTAGATACACTTATAAATAAATATCTGTAGGAGCCCTGGGAAAGAGAATTGGAAATAGGCACAGATGTTTCTTTTTCTGTCTAATCCATCTCTTTATATGTGCTTTAGTTAAAAGAATTTTTTTTATTTTGATTTTCGGGCCACACCCAGCAGTTCTTGGGATTTATAGCTGGTTCTGCACTAAGGAGTCACTCCTGGCATGCAGTGTTCACTCCTGGTGGGGCTTAGGCAGACCATATATGGCACTAAGAATTTAACTCAGGTCAACCACGTGCACAGCAAGTGCCCCTACAGCACTGGCCCAAGTTAAAACTCTTGATTATTCGATTCATGTCACAATTTGTTCTGCAATATGAGCCTGGCAAGCTACCCGTGACATATTTGATATGCCAAACACCGTAACAACAAGTCTCAAAATGGATATGTTACTGGGCTCGCTCGAGCAAATCGATGAAAAACAGGAGGACAGTGCAGTGCTATGATTGTTTAATTTTTATATTAATATATGAATTCATTAGGGCTCTTAATTTCAGAGGGGAAGGAAATATGAAGATCTTAGAATATTTGGGATAATACTCTTCACTTATTTTAGTAAAAAGAAGTAAAATAACTGTTAATTAATTATAAATAATTACATGTCTTCTCTAATAATATATGAATGCTGTAATTAAGAGTAATGACTGTTCTGTGACATTTTCCTCTTTCTAGGGTTTCAACTTTGCAGGATTTAAAGCAAGTGAACTTACTTCACTACCCAGACATTTGGATGCTGAACGAATTTATCTTTTTATTTTAAAAGCCCAAAAGCTGGATGTAAGTGAATTTTACTCTATTTTCATATACTTGGTACTTTTTGAGAATAATGATCTCTATATATAAAATATATTAAAAATAGAGATTGTAATTCTCAAATGGAGCATTTTTTAATTTTTTATAATTTTATTTATTGAATCACCATGAGAGCAGTTACAAAGCTTTCGGGTTTAAGTCTCGGTCATACAATGAAACACCTGTACCTTTACCAGTGCCCATTCTTCACTACCAAAAACACCAGTAATACCCTCATCCCACACCCTCCCCCTACTTGTGGGGCAGATGATTTTCACATTACTCTTTTTCTACTTTGATTGCATTCAATATTTTGACACCAGACCCACTATTTTTATTTGGGATTTTAATCCAACACTCAGATCTGCTGAAAAATCAACAGTAGACAATTTGTTTTCTATTTCTGGCTATGAATAACATATGATGTCACGCGGCTGCAGTAGTGGCCGTGCGATTTTGAAATTCCTAAATTTTAACAATTAAACCTGGAGGGATTTCTGCCAAAACTTGCTGGGTTCCAAGATTTGTTCCTGAATCTCTGGGACCAGGCCGTTAAGCAGCTTGATCAGGAGCCAAAAAGGCCATTCGTTGGCAGCGACTTGGGACAGGGAGGAAAGGGCCAGCTCCACCCTCATCCTGCCAAAAGCCATTGGGTTTTGAGATTTGTTTCTGAGTCTCTGGGATCATGGCCATTAAGCAGTTCGATCAGGAACCAGAGAGGCCTTGCCTCCAATTATATAGCTGAACCAGAGGTGGTTTATGGGTGTGTCTCCCACATATCTAATTTTGGCCATTTACTTTCTTGGTAAACTTTGCCCCAAGATTTTGGGGTCTGGCCAAAGGCACAGCAGCAATTTTGGCGTATCTGGAAGTCTGAAGATGCCATCAGTCTGCTGATGCACTCACCTCACAGGTACAGACTGACCTGCTAGCAGCACCATACCCCCGAAATGGAGCATATTTTTATTTTACTTTAAGTTATGATATATTTTTGCAAGATTTAATTCTTTGGAAATGAAGTTTAGCAGGAAGAGTGGGGTGTTTACCTTGATCACTAGAGGAGAATGTATTATGGTCTCAGTGTTATGGTCTGGAGAATCTGAGATTCCTAGTAGACACAGACTTGATAGGTGTGGGTAGCATTACATGCTCCCTCTTCCTGATTTATCAGCTTCGGTTTTGTAGCTTACTCTTTAGTCCCAGCATAACTTATGAGAACTTTTCCCAACAACCCATTTTGAGCCTCCAAGTATCTGAGGAATATTTTAATTGTACCCCTTCAGAATTGTCTGTTGGAAAGAAGATGCAAGCATAGGTAGGAAACCAGACCATATTTCAGTGATTTGCAGGGGTGAAACAAGAATTGAGTGGTTATCGGTACTGATTTCTCAACCACTTCAAAGACACATTAATATTTTTGTTCCCTGAATGCTTGAACAATGCTCCTTGCATCCCCAAAGAGATTTCATTTCAACAGATCTCTGAAATGGATTCAGTGCCTAATAGCTTCAGTTAGTGCTGGTGACCATGTGTTTCAGGGATTGAACCCTGGTCTCTCACATACAGAGAGAAAATAATCTTTTCTTTTCTAATCTTCACAATAATATAGTCAAATATTATTGTTGAGCATTTGAAATGTGACTGTAACTACCTTTTCCTCTTTTTATTTATACAAAATTATATATATAGCTTAGAAACTAATATTTGCATTAAATATTGAAAAACTTTTCATAATGATCACAAAAAATATATAATGTATTTTATGAAGTGTACATACTGACCTAGTATTTATGATGAAATCGAATTGTTCAAATTGAAATGTGTTATAAGCCTAAAATATATACCATGTTTAGAGACATTGTACCAAATAAGAATGTAAAACATTGTATTAATAATTTTATAATTATATTGTTTCTGTATTTGTAAATTCATTTGTAGATTTTTTTACTTGTTATAAAGTGGTTACTAGAAATTTTAGTCATCACGGTCGTCACGGTCCTCCCGTTGTTCATTGATTTGCTTGAGCAAACCCAATAACGTCTCCTTCATGAGACTTGTTGTTACTGTGTTTGGCATATCGAGTACGTCACGGGTAGCTTGCCAGGCTCTGCCGTGCGGGCAAGATACTCTCGGTAGCTTGCCGGGCTCTCCGAGAGGGGTGGAGGAATTTTAATATTTTTTAAAATTTTTTGGTTTTTGGCTCAATTCCAACAATGCTTAAGGTCTACTCCTGGCTCTGTGCTTTTGGGATCATATGTGTGTCTGGGGAACTAATTCTGGGTTGCTGCATGCAATGCAAGAGCCCTGCTCACTGATTATCTCTCCAGCCGTTTATTTTTAAGCAAATGTTAAAATGCTTTGTATATTTCCAGTTTTTGACTGCTTTATATAGTCAATTTCTGCTTATAAGGACAATTTCTATTAATATTATTAATATTTTAAATAAAATTTAATTTTATCTTTGTGTTTTTTATTTCACAGGTAAAAGTTTTTAAGATTTGGAAGTCTCATTTTCTTTTACCATCTTCCATTGCTCTTTTGATTGACTCTTTTTGGTGGTGGTTTCTCTATAAATTTAAGGTACAATGATATTTTAACTTATTTTTAAATTATAATTAAATTCTCAGTTATAGTAGTACTGGCCCAAAAGATTCTTTTCTTGATCCTTTCACAGAATTTGAATTTTGAGTACTCCACATATGTAAGAAATTCTGCTTTAAATCTACAGTTTTTTCAGAAAACTTAGGTTTAATATAGATTTTTTTAATATTCTGGGTTTTGATTATTATCAAAAAAGATTACTGGAATGAAACACTGTATTTATTGTGAAGTTATAATGTTACTTCATACTATAACATGCTTATAAATACAAAACAGAAAACCCACTGTAAATAATTACTATTAAAAGATATTTTATTTGGAAAAAAAGGTTTAATATATAAAGTCAAACAAGCATGATCTTTGTCCTTATTTAATTTTAATATATTATTTTTACATAGGTATACCTATGAGCTGGAGTGATAGCACAGTGGTACAGCTTTTGCCTTGAACGCAGCCGCCCCGGCTGAACCGGGTTCGATTCCTCCACCCCTCTCGGAGAGCCCAGCAAGCTACCAAGAGTATCTTGCCCGCACAGCAAAGCCTGGCAAGGTCCCCGGGATGTATTTAATATGCCAAACACAGTAACAACAAGTCTCACTATGGAGATGTTACTGGACCCACTCGAGCAAATCGATGAAAAATGGGAGGACAGTGCAGTGCAGATATACTTATAACTACATTTTTTATTTGAGGAAAAGAGATTTAATTAGCTTGCTGTGGTAATGCAGCTATGTACAGATTACCATTGAAATTCAGGTGGGTCGATGCCCAATGCTATGCATCATTTCATTATGTAGTACTAATTTGCCTTTTGAAAATTGATTAAACTGCTGTAATTATAAAAAACATAATAATTTTAATTGTGATGTAAATTATATTAACGCCATACATGCTTTGTATTTTAAGCCTGATAAAGAAAATCAAGCTTTCTTATTTGATAGAATGTCAGAAAGTTATGCAATGCTATTCACGAGCATACCTGTAAATCAGAAGGATGCATTCATTCAGGTAAGCATAGAAAGTATCTGGTTATGCTAATTGTTGTAGAGCTAATAAAGTAAGTGGGTAGGGCGTTTGCCTTGCACAAGGCCGGCCCAGCAAGCTATCGAGAGTATCGTGCTTGCATGGCAGAGCCTGGCAAGATCCCCGTGGCGTATTTGGTATGCCAAAAACAGTAACAAGTCTCACAATGGAGACGTTACTGGTGCCTGCTCGAGCAAATCGATGAACAACAGGAGGACAGTGCTAATAAAGTAAAAATAATGACCTGAACATGTATGTTAATACATTTTATTGTTTGGAACAAAAAATTGCCTGAATTGTAGCATAGGTACCACTAATTTTTATAAATTAAATCACCGTGAGACAGAGATAGAGATAGACTATGTCGTTCATGGTTGGTTTTAGTCATACGGTGTTTCAACACCCATTAGTGTATATTTCCCACCACCAGTGTCCCCAGTTTTCCTCCCGCCACTTTCCCCCAGCCTATGACAGTCTCTCTCTCTCTCTCTCTCTCTCTCTCTCTCTCTCTCTCTCTCTCTCTCTCTCTGTCTCTGTGTCCCATGCCTCCCCAGTTTTGGGGCATTCATGATTTGTAATACAGATAACTGAGAGGTTATCATATTTGTTCCTTTACTATAACAGTAATTTTTTAAGTTAGTCTATCTTTTAGAAACCATCATTTTATAAAGCACTTTATGAACTTTGTGTCTAATCAATCTCTTCAACTGATTAGACAACCCAGAGTAACTGAGAGGTTGGATGTCTTGTGAAGATCACCCACTCAACAAACAAATTTTGATATTTGTAGTACTTGAGACACATAACCAAAAAAGTGTGAAAACGTTCTCATAAGACTCTTTCTTGTAGGTATACCCTGACTATTTGTCACAAGCTATCTATGTAACATTCCAGAAAGCATTTCCAGAATCCTGTGAACTCTTTGATGAAGCATTTACAAAAGAGTTAGTGAATACCGTCTTTCTTTGGTTGTCAGGTATAAACATCTCATTTACGCATTGATCATTTATTTTGGTACCTAAAACTTTTGGACTTCAGTATTTTTTTACTCTATTAAAAAATTGGTAGTTTTGGCCAAGAAAGTTGCTCAGTATGCTTGTTTCACATGTATGATGCTCTGGGTTTCAGCCTTGGTGCCCCCAACATTAAAAAAAGTAATTACATCAAAAGAAACGGTAGTAACTATGCCTTACAATCCATGCTATCTCATTGCCTGTGTTTTAAAATAATTATTATTTACTTATGAAAAATTTTAGGTCAAAATTAATTGGCTATTTATTTTAGACAATAATTTTATAGACCACTCAATCGTTGAAGAATAGTTAATTATCACAGAAATTAATTACATAAATGTAGTGCATATTTTCAAGGAAAAATCTCTTTCTTTTGGCTTTTTGGGTCACATTCAGCGTTTCTCAGGAGTTATTCCAGGCTCTCCATTTAGGAATTACTCCTGACGGTGTTTGGGGGACCATACGGGATGCCAGAGATGGAACCCAGGTCAACCGTGTGCAAGGCAAAAGTCCTAGCCACTGTACTATTGCTCTGGCTCCTCAAGATAAAACTTTTAAAGCTATCGAACACTGTCAACATTTATGGGAAAAAATATTAGATAGATTTGAAAGCCAATTCACTTCTCATACAATTAGTCATTACTGGATGTAGTCTTGGTTTTTGAGTTACGTACGTGTACATAGGAGTCATAGAACTGAAATACTGAAGAGAGAAAAATTCTATTCCTTCAGGAATAGTCAGGAGATTTATAAGAAATGTGTTGACAGCACCAAAAGGAGAGAGAGAACAAAAGAGAATGCCCTGCCACAGAGGCAGGGTGGGATGGAGGAGGGGGCAATGGGAGGGATACTGGGATCAGTGGTGGTGGAGAATGGGCACTGGTGGAGGGATGGGTATTCGATCATTGTATAACTGAAACCCAAGCACAAAAATTTTTAAGTCGACAACTGTACCTCATGGTGTTTCACTAATAAAAATTTTTAAAAAAGTGTTGAAATCTAATGGTAAATCCAGCAAACATGTCTGTTTTGCTTTTCTATAGATCCACCAAGTAGGCTATTTATTCCACATGCAAAGACAAAGGCACTAATAGACATATGCCTCATTCTACATAGCTATTGGAATGGGTAGTTTTAACTGAAGTAAATAAAAATCTTGGTCAGTAAGTTTCCTAAGGATATGACTTGTAGCCTTATTTAAAAATTAAAAATAGGTAATTTCTATTATTCTGTTTTCCCATTCTCTGGTTCATTTCTATAAGCACTCCATTATAATGAAGAACACACAATACTTTTTAAAGTTTCAGTTATTATTTTAGTAATAAAATTCCCACTTAGCTCTTTTTCATATGTTCAATTTGCTAAAACTGTTCTCCCTGCCCTGTTTGTTTCAAGTATGTTCATCATTGCTCAATTATTTTTACTGTAACTTCTTAAAAATTGTGTCAGATGGGGCCAGATAAATAATCCAGCAGGTAGGCATTTGCCTTGCATGCCACTGAACCAAGTTTAGTCCCCAGAAATGCTTATGGTTCCCTGATCCATGATCACAGAGCAAGGAGTAAATCCTGAGCACCACCAGGTATGTTGATAAAAAAACAAAAGAGAGATTTTTTTTTAATCAGATGACTCTAATATCTGAATCATCTGCAAACCTGAGTTTAACCTCTTCTCCATTTTAGATCACTTTGTTTTCTTTTTCTTGTCTAAAGAAAGACATTGGACTATTCTCTAAACCCACAAATAAAAATGAACTCAAAATAGATTAAATATATTTATTTAACACCCCAAATTATAAGGGACATAATTATACTATATGCTCCATTATATTAGCATTAGAGATTTGTTTTGGGGATTTGTGATAACGATAAACATAAAAGCAAGCAAAAATAAACAATGCAATAACAGTAAATAGACAAGTTTTTGTACAGCAAAAGAAACTATAAACAATTAAAATACAGGCTGGAGAAATAGTACAATGTGTAAGGCTCTTATATTGCATGTACTCTACCCAGGTTCGAGCCCCAGAGGCCCCTGCTGTCCCCCAAGACTTGCCAGGAGTGATCCATGATTGCAGAGCCAGGAGTAAGCCCTGAGCACGCTGCATATGGCCCCATAACAAACAAAAAAATACAATTAAAATGCATCCTACTGAATGATGAAAGATATTTGCACATCATTATTCTATGTTTGCATGTATTCTATATTTGCACATCATTATTCTTATTCTATAAGGGATTAATATCCAAGGCAACGTTCATCAGTGCTCAGAAAACAATTCTACTAAATTTATGCTATTTCTTTATTAACAAATATTTGCAACTTTAGTGATATTATAAACTATGATAACTCTGTCACTGTACCGGTCGTCCTGTTGTTCATGAATTTGCTCAAGTGGGCCAAGTAACATCTCCATTGTGACACTTGTTACTGTGTTTAGTATGTCAAATATGTCATGGGTAGCTTGCCAGGCTTTGCCGTGCAGACGAGATACTCTCAGTAGCTTGCCGGACTCTCCGAGAGGGGCCGAGGAATTGAACCTCGGTCGGTCGAGTCGGCCGCGTGCAAGGCAAATGCCCTACCCGCTGTGCTATTGCTCCAGCCCATGATACCTTAATAAAAATACTTAAAAATCAAACAAAAAATATTTATAAGATAGGGACTGTAGTGATGGTAAAGCAGGCAGGGTGCTTGTCTTGTATGCAGACAATCCAAGTTTGATCCTTGACATCCCATATGTTCCCCCCCAAACCCTACCAGGAGTAATTCCTGAGTGCAGAGCAAGGGGTTACCCCTGAGAATCACTGGGTGTGGCCCCAAAACAAACAAAAATACTTACAAGATAAATTTTAATGAATATTTTATTAACTGCTGTTTGGCTATATTATTGTCAAATACTGGTTCTTTACATGTTTCCACAATAATTAATCTCTTCATATATCCTAGCATATGTTTATCTTTGTGAGACAGAAGACAATACTGAGTTTTAACTGTTTATTGCTGATTTATATAGTAAAATGTTAATATTTCTATGTAAAGTTTCCCTCTTGTGAACCTTGAGATTGTCACTTCTCACAAGAGTATTGTGCTAATGAAAAATACAAAACTTATAAATGCATTAACAAATGTACATATCACAATTCATATATCTATGGTTAAATGCACATTTTATATCAACAGGTTTAAAACCTCAAAAACACGTCTTTGCCCATTGGAAATGGAATGATCTCTGTACCAGTACCACACAGGATCTCAAAAAGGAAACTTCAAAACCTCTACTAGAAAAGTGTACAAGGACTCAAGAACTTATATCATCTTGTAAGTAAATTCATTATAAACTTAGTGAAATGAAAATCAAGCTTATTAAGTTATTTGCATTTTCTAATGACTTAGTTTTTATAGATATTCTTATAATAACATTTGATTTATATATTAGTGGTATTAATGGTTTTAATACTGCTTTCCATTTTAGTTTTTTGTAAGAAAAGTAGTCATCTTTAAAACCTTTTCTCATTTGCTTTTGATTTTATTTAAATAATTACTTTAGGAACTTTTCAGGTTCTACAACAAATATTCTTACTTCTTTGTTATATTGATAATTTATAATAGTTTTTGACTACAGCTAAGTTTAAATTTTTTATTTGGTAAGTTTGAATAATATTTAAACATTGTTCTGTGGAATGTTTGCCATGTGCAAGGAAATATGTCATTGAATTTGACATAATTTAAGATAAATTGTTAGAGAAATACCAAGACTAAGGCAGGAAAAATAGAAAATTAGATTCAACCCAAAAATCTTCCCCAAAACATGGACTGGAGTGAGAGTATAGCTAGTAGATGTTTGCCTTGCACACAGAGAACTTTGTTTCCATATATAGCACCATATGGTTCCTGGAGCCCAGCGGGAGTCATTTCCGAGATTAGAGCCAGCAATAAGAATTAGCATAGATCACTGAGTATGGCCCAAACCTCCCATAAAAAGTTGAAAAGAACAAAGACCAAACAAACAGGTTTATGAAAAGATGCTCATCATATCTTACTAGGGAAGCGCAATAGAATTCCTCTTAAAAGCAGGGACCCATTCTGTATTGGGTATTAAACATAGGGCCTATTCATGCACGACAGGTTTGTTGAGAATATTTGCATCAATGTTCATCAAAGTTAGTGGTTTGTAATTAGTTTTCTCTTTTTGAGGTGGTATGCCTATCTAGTTTGCTTTCACTTTAATAATTCTGGTATCATAAAATGTTTTCTGAAACATTCCTCTTTGGATTTTTCTTTAAGCTCTTCTTTAAAGCTTTTGTAGAATTTAATAGTAAGGGTTCTTGGGGGTATGGTGCCGCCAGCAGGTCAAACTGTACCTGTGAGGCAAGTGCATCAGCAGCCTGATGGTACCGTCAGACATTTAGATACCCCAAAATTGCTGCTGTGCCTTTGGCCAGACCCAAAAACTTGGGGTAAAGTTTACCAAGAAACTAAATGGCCAAAAGTTAGGTATGTTGGAGACACACCCACAAACCACCTCTGGCTCAGCTATATAATTGGAGGCATGGGCTCTCTGGTTCCTGATTAAACTGCTTAACGGCCATGATCCCAGAGACTCAGAAACAAATCTCGAAACCCAACAGCTTTTGGCAGAAATGCGTCCGGTCCCTGCAGTAGGCTACCGGTGCTGGGCCACCCCAGATGGGAGTAGGTTTTGTGCCTTGGCCTGTTCCCCCCTGGCGGCCCGGTGGCTGCCATCCTCCAGAGACCACTGGACAGTCAGGTTTGGGCCTGCAGTGATGAGACACGTGGGGCCTCACAGGATGGGGGTGGAGCCAGCCCTTTCCTCCCCATGCCAACGAGACCCCGAGTTGCCACCCACAAACGGCCTCTCTGGCTCCTGATCAAGCTGCTTAACGGCCATGATCCCAGAGACTCAGAAATAAATCTCAAAACCCAGCGACTTTTGGCAGAAATGCATCTGGACCATGCAATAGGTTACTGTCGCCAGGTCACCCCAGGGGGGAAAGGGTGCTGCCCCTCCGCCTGCTCCCCCTTGGTGGCCTGGTGGCCACCATCTTCCAGAGACCATTGGACAGTGAGGTTTGGGCCCACAGTGACGAGACACATGGGGCCTCACGGGATGGGGGTGGAGCCGGCCCTTTCCTCCCCACCCCAATGAGACCCTGAATCGCTGCCCATGAACGGCCTCTCTGGTTCCTGATCAAGCTGCTTATGGCCATGATCCCAGAGACTCAGGAACAGATCTCAGAACCTAGCAGGTTTTGGCAAGAAATCTCTCCAGATTTAATTGTTAAAATTTTGGAATTTCAAAATTGCACAGCCACTACTGCAGTCGCGTGGCATCATATATCATTCATCACCAGCTATTAAAAAAAAAAAAGGTCTACGGTTGCCTTTTCAGCAGATCTGAGTGTTGGAGTAAAATCCCAAATAATAATGGTGGGTGTGGTGTCGAAATGTTGAATGTGATCAAAGTATAGAGAGAGTGATTTGGAAATTATCTGCCCCACAGGTAGGGGGAGGGTGTGGGATGAGGGTATTACTGGTGTTTTGGGTGGTGGAGAATGGGAACTGGTGAAGGTATGGGTGTTTCATTGTATGACCAAGACTTAAACCCGAAAGTTTTGTAACTGCTCTCACGTTATAAAAAAAAATGGGGAAAAAAAGAGTAAGGTGGAGTTCATGTAAAATTCAATCAGCCTAATCAGTGGCTGAATAAATACTCCTATATTAATAAAAAAAAAGGGTATCTGTTCTGAACTTTTATTTTGTTTTTTTTTTAAATAGTAGCTAACATAGGGAAATAGACTAGTTGCTCATTGATAGAGGTATGATAGTTATGTGGTATTTGAACTGTTCAGCAACATTTTTAGTTGAAATTCTGACATTTGTGGAAAAAAGGAAAGTAATTCAAAGGGATATGCAGAGCAAGATAAGTCAGAATGAAAAAGATAAATGTTAGATAATTTGCACCTCTATGTGCAAAATAACGTGCACAGTAGGTGAATGGATAAACCAAAATTAAGATAAACTAATGTACAATGACTTTAGAACTGAGTTTACCAAAAGGGAAAAAAGTGGAGGAAAGAGAAGACATTTAATGAATGATGGCTGTTTTTCTTTTCATTAAAAAAATAAATATGCATGATGAAAATTTAAATAGAATTTAACCGAATTCCATACATTTCAGATATAATATTCAAATTTTATATTTATTTTGTTCTTACTCGGATTTTCCACTTTATATATTGCATGTTTATTTAACTAAGAGTTTTGAGATGACTCATAACAGCTATGTTTTTCCCCCTATCTTATAAAGTGTCCTTTCTGGTTTGTCATTATATATTATATGAATGCTTCTTATGTAAACATGAAAAAAATGAAAAGAATGTTTCACACACATGATAAATATTTTTGCCATGTTTTCAAGCATTTTTACATATTTTTGGTATATTCCCAATTTAGTTCTTCCTTCTCGAGTGGTAACAACTATACTAATTTTAGGTGGACTTTCTTCCTTTCTATATTGTTTATATGTTCTTTACTTGGTATGAACATGTATATCAAGCTTATTATATTTTAATATCTAAGTATAATAAGCATTCAGTAATTAACCAATAGATGAGACCAATTTTTTTTTTTTTTTTTTTGCTCTTTGGATCACACCTGGCGATGCACAGGAGTTACTCCTGGCAGTGCTAAGGGAACCATATGGGATGCTGGGAATCGAACCCGGGTTGGCCGCGTGCAAGGCAAACGCCCTACCCGCTGTGCTATCTCTCCAGCCCCGAGACCAATATTTTTTTTATAATTTATTTATTTATTGAATCACTGTGGGAAAAGTTACAAAACTTTCAGGTTTAGGTCTCAGTCATGCAAATATCAAACACCTTTCCCTTTACCAATACTTATTTTTTACCACAAAGAACCCCAATAAAACCCCACCCCTCACCCCTCCCAATGCCTGCGAGGCAGATGAATTCTAGTTAACACTCTATCTGCTTTGATTAGATTCATTGTTTCAATAAAAGATGCACCACTATTATTTAGAGTTTACCCCCCCCCCCCCAAATCAGACATGCTGAAAAAGCATTGTGAAGTGATTCGCTTTCTACAGCTGGGTTCAAGAATTAAATGTTGGTTTTGGATTTCCGTTATTTTACTAATTAACCCTGGAAGTATTTCTACTGAGAGTCAGATAATTAAGAGATTGGTTTCTGTGCTCTGGAGTCGTGGCCGTGCTGGAGAGCCGCTCGTGGGGGGCAACTGGTAGCCTCGGTAGGGCGTGAAGGACGGACTGGAACGCCCCCCTTCCCATGAGGTTTTAGTCGCCCCCACACCCCCGGCTCATACCTGCTCTCCACAAGGCTCCCATGTGGCCGCCATCTTTCTTTCCAGAGGGAGGAGGGCGGAAGGGAGCAACACCCTTTCCCCTCCGGGCAGACATGATGGCCTGGACTAACTCATAGTCCATTCACTTTTCTGCTCCAAGCTGCTGGGTTCTGCATTAAGTCCTTGTGCTTCTGGGGCCGTGGCCATGCCAGAGAGCCGCTCGTGGGGGGCAACTGGTGGCCTCGGTAGGGCATGAAGGACAGACCGGAACGCCCCCCTTCCCATGAGGTTTTAGTCACCCCCACACCCCCGGCTCATACCTGCTCTCCACAAGGCTCCCATGCGGCCACCATCTTTCTTTCCAGAGAGGAGAGGGCGAATGGGGCAACACCCTTTCCCCTCCGGGCAGACATGTTGGCCTGGATTAACGCATAGTCCGTTCACTTTTCTGCTCCAAGCTGCTGGGTTCTGCATTAAGTCCTTGTGCTTCTGAGGCTGTGGTCATGCTCCAAACTTAACTCTGATTTTCAGGGAGAAACGTTGGGTGATTTACTTCCCATTGATCACTTTGTATATACAGAGATGTCGCGCGGCTGCGTAAGTGGCTGCGTGGTTTGGAGGAAAAGTCCTAGTTCCCGCATACTCGAGCTATGTTTGTAGAGGCTTCTGGTCACTGGGGTTCCATCTGGGGGAGGCGGGATGCGGCACCTACCCCATCTGGGGCTTCCCGGTGATCTCGGCCCTTTTTGGAACCTGGTGTCTTCTCCGGCAGCTGTGGAGCCAGCCCTCCATGTGGCCCTTCTTCTCTCTCTGCATCTGTGTGCTGTAAAGATCGAGACCAATATTTTTGATTGTTAAATTAGTCTATAGTTTGTTTACAGTTGAAAGTTTTTTCACTTCTAGAAAATACCACTTATCAGTTTTTAATCTCATTAACATTTTTTATAAATATTTCCTATTTGTATATTATTTTATAATAATCTTT